GTACTCATAAAACCAAAAATAAAAAGAAGAGTACTAGAGAGAGAGAGAGAGAAGATCTTACCAGAATATGAAAATAAAATAAAAAAGCACGTGCAAAAGAGTCAACTGGATTTTTAACTAACATTAACCTCATCAAAAGGTTGCTGAAACTGGTCCTTAAAGTCATAATTTGAGCCTGCCGGTAAAAGCAAAATCGATCATATTATCATTCTCTACAACTTTCACTTAACAAGCACAATCAAAATAACAACGGTGTGATGCAAGGGACCCACGAGGGGCTAAAGGTAGTAAATTTCTACAAATGGGCAGGGTAAATAAAAGTACTTATCATTTTCGACCCTTTATAATCTATTTCAGAACCCTTCAATTTATTTTTAGACAATATTACATTATTGTAATGAAACGACAAGTAGATCCATGTACATAGGATGCATTAGTTGGCGGCCGATACCTTTATTCTCTAATAATTTATTAAAGATGAAGATCAATGGTAAAGATCTGTTTCCAATATTCAGCCATACCAACTAATTCAGAAAATATTTGCAGACCTCACTAAAACACAAAAGGTCACAACTCGTGACACGTGAAGACAAATGAGGCCACATCCCTACACAGTCACCTAGTGGATCAATGAACGACTCAGATTGGATATCCTTAACCAACAAGAGATATTCAACACCCAAGTTGTTGGTTTACCCAGTCTCGTAGATGGATGCACTATTAAGATTGAACATATTAAATAGAAGAATCAAACTAAAAAAGAAAAGAAACAATTGAAAATGATGTTCATTGGGACCGAAACCATCAACTCCTTGATTCAAAGATACAAGGGGACATAACAAAGGGTTGTGTAATACGTAAGCAAGACCCTTTGGGATGCAGAACTACAATATTGTTTCATCAAGAAGATGTATAATTTCCTTGTTCAAATTTATTTATCATACAATAAAAAAATCAAAATTTATTTTTCAAACCCAACATAGTGAGACCGATTAGCCGGTTTGTAATCCCATGTACTATCCTCCGTTCTATAATTCTTGCAACAGTTTGACTTTCACGGTTGCCAATGCACAACTTTGACTGTAATTATATTTAATTATGTATTAGTAAACTTTATAAAAAGTTGATATTTTGGAAATTCACATTGATAAGAGTTCAATAACATTTTATACATAATAATTTGATTATGTATATTAGTAGAAAATCATGGTCAAAGTAAGATCTGTGAATAGAGTAAAAATCACAATGTTGCAAGAATTATAGAACGGAGGAAGTATATAATTAGATAAATCTAATCTAGTTATGGAACATGATCTATGTGTACTTGTGACAAGGAGATGCCAAAAGAAAAAGTCTATATTTGGTGAGGATAAGAGAGAATTGTAGATAGTTATGGTATCAAAAATGGGAAAATTTTATTGAGTCCTATATGACTCCACTATGGAGTCATGTAACATATGTGGCTTCACACAAACCACTCATTTTTAGAATGAGATCCTACACTATGAATGCGTTATAAAAATAAATGGCTATTGTGAAGCCGTATAGATGATATGATTCCATAGTGGAGTCATATAGGGCTCCATAAAATTTGTCGCTAAAAATGAGTTAAAATTCACGAGTATCCATGATTTAAAAGTGCATTAAAATGAATGAAAATTTGAATACACCTAGACATTTTTAGACTTTTAAGAGTCTACATTGAGAGTATGTTTGGCACAACTAGCTAAAAAGATAATTCAGTGGAATTTTTAGTAACCGTTAGCTTTTTGTAACTGAAAAGATCTTAAAAGGAAAAAGGTTGTAGTTGTTTGATAAAAAGTCGATTGTTTGATTTAGTTCTGTTGGAATAACAAGTTGTTGTAACTCATTAATGCTAAAAGTTACAAACTTTCTTCTAGATGTTACAAACTTTGATGCCGAACTACGGGTGGCTGATTTGATTAATATGGAGACAAGCGCGTGGGATGAAAGCAAGTTGTTCGAGTGCTTCCCCCCTGAGGAGGCTGCAGTAGTAAGAAGCATTCCGCTGAGCTCGAGACTCCCTCAAGATTCCCGCTATTGGTGGCCTACGAAAAATGGAGTCTTCACGGTGAAGTCCGCATATTGGTTAGGACTCTTGGGACCAAAGAGGCTAAAACGTGGGCGAGGAAAATCAATTTGGCAGCACATTTGGAATCTTAACATACCCCCCAAACTTAAACATTTTATGTGGCGAGCTATTACAGGATGTTTGGCAACGAAAGAAAGACTATGGATAAGACACATTGCCCAGAAACCTCAATGCCCAGTATGCAATGCTTCGGTCGAGACTTCTAGCCATATGCTATTCTCATGTAAATTCTCTAGAAAAATATGGCAAGATGAAACATGGAGAAGACTGTTTGAGGTCGCGCCGATCCATTCTGTGGCTGATGTAGTGTGCTGGGTCCTAGAGAATATGAGAGAGGAACTATATGACTTCATTAACAATTGTTGGGTGGCGTGGACATGTAGAAACAAGGCTGTTTTCGAGCTTGGTGAACCAAAGGTGGAGCTGATTCATGCGGGGTTTCAACAATATGTTGAGGACTACCAAAAATACGCTGCTAAAGTTTATAAGGCACCAATTTGTCCTGCTGGTCCAAGACTCGAGAAATGGCTTAAACCTCCGCCAAGTTTCATCAAAGTGAATTGTGATGCAGCCATTTTCAAAGGAGGTGTGGGTCTCGGGGCTGTTTTAAGAGATGAAAATGGCCAAGTTCAGGCTGCAGGTGTAAAGAGAATAGATGCTAGATGGGAACCTGGTATGGCTGAATATGCAGCGGCAGTTTATGGTCTGAATTTGGCTCACCATATGAGAGTGCAAAAGATTTTGATTGAAAGTGATGCAGTCAACTTCATAATTGCAGCAGAGTCGGGGAGGGAGGACCGAACTGCTCTCGGGCTTTTTCTTGACGATATCTACATTATGAAATCTAAATTTGTAAAGCTTAAATTTTCTCATGTAAAGAGGAATGGTAATGCGGTTGCGCATATGATAGCTAGAATGGTTCCTAATTATGGATCTGAACAATTTTTTGTAACCAATCTACCAGAAGATATATTATCTCTGGCTGAACGTGATTTAAATTAATATAATAGTAAGGTTTCTTAAAAAAATGTTACCAGAGCTGTTAACGAACCGAACTTTTATCGAACTATTCAAGTTCGAGCTCGATTTTGAACCTAACGAGCCGAGCTCAACGAGCTTTCGAACTCGAACCCGAGTTGAGTTTTAAGTTCGAAAAGTTAACCGAGTCGAGCTCAAACATAGTAGTATTCGGCCCAGTTCGAACTCGAGCCTATTGAACACCGTTAAATTATAAATATAATTTATATATATGTCAAAAAACAAATATAATTAGTATTATTTTATGAATTTAAATATGATTATTAACGAACCGAATACTTGTCGAATCATTCAAGCACGAGCCTGTTAACGAGCATCACCTAAAATTTTAAATTTGAGCATATTTATCGAGCTTATTGAGCGCTCGGTTCAATCATCGAACGCCTATCGAACCGAACACGAGCCTCATTTGTAAAGCTCGCCGAGCTTGGAGCTCGAACCCGAACACTACTAATTCCTTATCAAGCCGAACTCGAGCTTTGTGTGTTCGGGCTTGGCTCGTTAACAGCCCTAGATGCTACTTGCTATAGTTTCTCAAAAAAATCTTCTTTTTGAGAAAAACTCTTAAAAATTGTCATGTCGAATACACAATTAAAAATTTTTAGAGACTTTTTAAATAGTACAAAAATTAGAAAAGATAGGAGATTATGCTTAACAAATATCGACCATATACAATTCTATACCATTCATCATTCCGAATCCCCACTTTCGCATTTTCCCTTCATCGTCTATGATATTTTCTTCGAAGGTAAATGTGTTTCACATACACTAGCGGGTGAAATATTTACAAGGTCGGAGACGCCCGTTCGTAATCTCTGGTAAGCTATAGCTCGAACTAGGGGGCGACCGCCGTGAGGGCAAGGATGGGCTCCAGCCCTTCCCAATTTTTTCTTTTTTTAATTAGTATAAGTATAAGTTGGAAAATTCACAACCACATAATTTCTATTCACAGCTTATAAAATTAATATAAATAAATAAAAGCAATTCAAATATCAACAATACCTTATACCGATAAACGCAATTGCCATAACAGTTCGCGCAAGTCTAAAATTAATTCTGCATAATAGGTTTTACACATGGAATGTAACTCTCTTCAATGAATCTCCTCAAGCAACCATATTTGCATCAAGACAGCTTCTCCACGGTTGACCGCAATCCCTTAAGTGCATACATATATCCACAATCATGGAACTACTAATTCAAGCCTGAATCCTAATGGATAATAAATTTTATGGCCTGAACCACAATTATGGCATGGTAACCACCAATCACACTGTACTCTTCACACATGGTCATAACAATATGAGAAAAACTATTGCTGCAATTTAATTTTAGTTCGTGTTGTTTAATTGGTAAGGATGTGAACTTTAATGGGAAATAAAATATAAAATGAAAAAGCAACAAGTATGTTCTTCTATGTGACATTCCAAATCACACACTTCACTCTGTTTTTGAAGTAAGGAACTCAAAGAACAAATAAATGCTAAATCACAGGTGACATGATGGACTAGTGTATCCAAGGAAAACCTAAAAAAAACACAATCAATCTATCATCATTCCCCATGTGTCTCAAAGGCTCCCACCTATGGTAGGGTAAGGGGAAGTCGGATGTACACAGTCTTACTCCTGTATTAAAGCACAGAGAAAATGTTTTCGAATGACCCATAATGAAAATCGCATCCAAAATTGCATGGACTGCTGCTGATTCATAACAAAAAAGTTCAGATAATTTGGTGAGCCATTTTGGTGGCTTAGGGTGGAAGAAGAGAGTCAAGGGCAAAACAGACGTTTTAAAAATATAATTCATTTAATAATCTTAATATTGGGGCTATAATTAGTAATGATGTGACCGAAAATAGAATTTTCCGTATAGGGTTAATTACCGGCCCATCCCAAAATTAATTCCCAGCGTCTCCTTTGCGAACGGTCGGAAGTGCGAAGACGGATGAACGAAGGTCGAAGAACGAAGAGTGAAGACGAAGCTTCCGACGAAGAAACTGTGAGCTGCGAGCCTGCGAAATACGCGAACACCAGGCCACCATCCGCTCCGCCTGCCGCCGTCCACGGCCCTGCACAGGCCGTCCTTCCTCTCCGGACTCCGGCTCTCACCTCTCCGATTCCGGCTCTGCCAATCTTCCTGCGGCTCTGCCTCCAGCAGCCGGCTCCACGCCTCCACTGCTCCAGCCTCCAGGAGTCCAGGTATACTCTAACTCTAATATTCTTTTAGATTTTTAATCTATTATTTTGTGACTTTGTGTTATTGTGTATTATTATTTTTAGCCTTTAAGGGTTAGGTAACAATGTGATAATTAATTGAATTTTTTAGTACATATAAAATAGTGTTTAATTCATTATAATATAATGATTAAAGATAGAATTAAAGATTAGAGAATAATTTGTTTATTATACAATTGAAAATTAGAGAATGATTTATTTATCGTGTGGATGTGTAAGAAAGAATTGAAAATTTCAATTGAATTTTGAAATTGGGAAAAATTATTAGTTTTATGTACAACAATTGTTTTCTCTCATTAGTTTTATAATTTTAAAGATTTTTTTTTAATTCATACCTATATTAAAAATGTTTTTCAGAATGGATAATGAACATATTGCCCAGACAGGAAAATGAAATGAATATTTACTTAGTACGAAATTGAGCTTGAGTTTGGTTCGATTTTAACACACGATAAACATGCTTGAATGTAGAAGTTTAGACTATACTCGTTAATAGATTCATGTTCGAATTATTCAATAAATACTCGAATCTTTAATAATTTTATAAAATTGCAGGGAAAACGTTTAAATTTTAAGATATACTCTGTATATAATTTATTCCTATAATTTGTAAGTGAACAATAGGCTCGAGCCTGGAACAAATCAAACATCACGATGTTCAAACTTGGCTTGAATTATTATTCAAACTCAAAACCTAGTATGCGTTCGAGTTCGAAGCTCGTTAAACTCGGGTCATTAAATTAGAAGCAAAATCAAGCTCGAGATCGAGTATATAATTAAAAAAAGCTCGATTCGGTAACAGTTCTGACCTAAAAATTTTACTGCTTAGCCCATCCCACATCTCAATCCTGGATCTGCTCCTGGTTCGAACATCATCTTCCCCATTCTGAATCACCCCTTTCCTAATTCTTGAGTTCTTCGATGATTTTTGCTTTGTTAATAAAGCTTTGCCTCTGAAATCGGTAGTTGCTCGTCTGGAGTCACTCGGGTTGTAATATCTCCGGTAATATATTGTTTGAACTTGGCAATTGCTATTTAATTTTTACCTTTCTACTCATCTTTTTGATTTCCTTGTGTTTTATATCCACCACTTATATTCTAGAATTTTACTACGTGCACTTCAATCTTGAAAATTAGAAAATTAGTCTATGTTTGAATATGTGTTTGTCTTAGACTTTTTGTTCTTGTATGTTGTGTTATTTCATTTTTATTTATCTGAATATGGTGTTCATATGCGACCAATACTGTCATTGTGATGTTGCTCCTGTTTTTTGTAGTATTTTATCCTTTTATATAATCTAAAACCGAGCAATCACGTTGTACGTACTAAATATGCTGCTCTATTTGGGATGTGGGAGTGACTCAATAAATTTTAGTGTTGTGTGGTGTACGGGCAGTACGGCGTAGTAGTCACTGAACAGGTTCATGGATTAGGGCCATTGAATTTCAAATGTGTTGGCCCTAATCATTATTTAATGTAGGTGAAGCTGTGCTTGGTATCTTTATCCTTTCAGGCCACCGGCTTAGCAGCTACACCAAAATAAATTATTTGTTACATTTTGAGATTTATTTGTATTGGTGGATTTAAATGGAAGTAGACTCAAATGGATCAGAGTGAAATTCATAAAAAAACTCCTTTGTGACTGGTGAGGTCAAGTCATCGCGATCCAAGGGGCCAACACGTTCCCTTGGGCTTTTGTTGGATCTTTTGTCATTATGATGTACTTAGTGAGTCATTAATTAATAATGAAGGCAAAAACAATAAGAAGGGAAGAAGGTAAAGTGCATCAAGCTCTATTAATCGATTTAGAATGATTACAGCACACCCTTACGGAGTCTGAGCCCCAATCATCTAATTATAAGTTGAGAGTTTACAGGAGAATCTGGAGAGAGAGAAGCAAAGCTTTTGAATGTAAGTTTGCCAACTCTTTACAATGAAATAAATGCAAGTATTCCATATGTGCATTAAATGTGTTTCATGTCATTTCCTTGATTTCCTGCAATCCCGCCAACCTCTTGGTTGAGTGGGCTGGGTGCCCGAAGATAGCAATCCAGGAATCTCATCAAGTGTTATGACCCACTCGACCCATGTCGTTGGTGGAGTGGCCTGGGTTTGTTCCTTGGGCTGTTGGGCCACCCGGTCCGTTGGGGGTATATGGGTCTGCCCTTTGCTGGGCCCAATACCCCAACAATGACATTACTGTGTCTTTTTATTTTTAAAAGAGATAAAAAATATAAGTCAGAATAACAAATGGAGTAAATGGAAGAAATAAAAAACTAAAAACGGATGGGAGGCCCAAACCTATTGAAGTGAAGTTATTCGGAGTACTGTTTTCCACTTGATTGAAATTCATTCAAACTAGAAATCAACCAGCCTAAGCCAAACTCGAGGTCAAATTAACACCCTAGCCCCTAGCCTTGACCAACCTTTAATCTGCAAACACCCGCAATACCTAATTCACCAGCAATCAAAGAGATACCAGATACCAGCTCGTCCCATCATTTGCTTGGATTCCCAGATTCAATAAACATATTAACAGTCTGTTTGGTGACCATATTTTTCGGCTTATCAGCATTATTAGCCAACTTTTTCATTAAGCACATAACCTTTGATTTCACGCGCTGGATTGTATATTAATCAAAATAAGTTACTGGAAATGCCATTTTAGTTATTTTTCATATAATTTTTCTATATTTATTACTACCTCCGTCCCTTTTATATTGGTACGGAGGAGGGTGGCACGATTATTAAGAAAAGTGGGTTTGTGTGGTTGATATTAATTGATAAAGTAAGAATGATTTAGAGCCACACAAACTTTACCAAACATGGTATGGGACAATATTAGTGGGACTTCCCAAAAAGGTAAAACGGGACAATATAAGGGGGACGGAGGGAGTAATAAAATATGGAGTATGTTTTACAATTTACATATAATTTTTTTCTTAAATCAGCAGAATCAGCCGATTTACGTCAATTTGACCCCTTACCGAACAGGCTTTTAAAATAGGAATGCTTTCATTCATTATTAGTTTGGATCCAAACAGACTGAAGCATTAACAGAGCAGTGAAAGACGCCGGTTCAAGCAGCTAGCCAATAAGTTCACGCAGGTGTGGACACTGGAAAGGGGTTGCTGGCTCGCCGAGAGTTTTGTAGCTGAGATATCACATGAAGAACGAGTAGATGCAGGATGGATAACAAAAACGTCGTCGTCTGCGACAATGGCACAGGGGTAAAATTCTTATATTTTATTGTGCAATCTTCTCCTTTATTGCTTAAACACTTATATCCAGTTCTATGATCTCTTGAGACACACTGTTGAATATGTTGTCGGGTATACTTGATTAGCTTGTCATCTGCTGTGTTACTCAGAATTGTACATAATGTAATTATTATGTTGCTCTAGGTACTTAATTTGCTTATGATTGGTCAAATCTGATGTTACGAACCTAGCCCATACTAGGCCCATACCATTGCCATAAGCCCAGGTGTAGAACTCATTCCTAAAAGACCAGCCCATTAGGAGGGAACACCTTGCTTATAAATGAAAGACCAGCCCATACTTGATCAGTGTGGGATCGTTACATCTGATAAATGAAACAACACATGGCTTCATTAGAAACACCTTGTGTTTGAAAAACAAATGATTTTTGATGATTAATGTGTTGTAGATTTCTCACCTATTGCTGTTGATTAGTATATATGGAGTATGCTTTTCATTTCTGTGGAGTGCCTAGTGCCTACTTACATACTCTGATTACCTCTATGTGAATGCAGTATGTCAAATGTGGCTTTGCAAATGAGAATTTCCCCACGTCTGTTTTCCCTTGCGTGGTGGGGAGGCCAATGTTGCGATATGAAGAATCCCTTATGGAACAAGACATCAAGGTGGAATGGTCTTTCTACTATTTGTTACCTTTAGGTTTTAGAAGTCTCAATGGATGTATCTGTATCTCCTCATTTCAAAATATTACTCCCTGCGTCATGGTTTCATTTGGCAGTTGGCACAAAGTTTAAGAAAATAGAAATTATGTGGCTGAGATTTACATAGAATGATGTTGACGAATATCTCAACCAAAACGTTTTTACTTACAAGGGAAAATGAAGATTGTTTATGGGCAGCCCAAAAAGCACAGTAGGATGGTAAAAAGGCGAGGGAGTATATTTATATCACTGCTTACTAACACTTATGGTAATTTGAGTTCTTCTTTGTTTCTTAAGAATTTAAACATCCACTTAAGGTTACACTCCCATGACATGAGTACATGTGTTAGAATTTAAAACCATCCTGGTATCCGACTTCTTAAAAATATAAAATACAAACCAACGTATAAGGTCTTGAGCTAGTCTTTCTATAGGATTGACCTTGGAGTGAGCCTTAAAACTTAGTATGGTATCTGTGATGTTATATTACCAGCTACTGTTATAGGATATTGCTGTTGGAGATGCATGTTTAAAGTTGCGGCACCAATTAGATATATCTTATCCTGTCAACAATGGGATTGTGCAAAACTGGGATGATATGGAACATGTCTGGGACCATGCATTTTTCAATGAGCTGAAGGTAGTCCTGATTCTCATTTCCACTGCAAATTAAATTAAAGTTTTTTTAATGAAATAACTTGGTGTGTTTCAAAATAGTTTCTACATCATACTATTTATTGAACACATTTGTTTCAACATTTTAATCTCTTTGAGATTAGAAAATGGTGTCTGTGCGAAAAGATGAGTTTTTTGTTTTTACTGACCTGTAGACGACATCTTGTTGTACTTTGTATGAATAAAAATCGAGTCTATGTAAACAAAATTCATGTTGTATAAATTAGTTGAACATCAAGCATCACCCTTGTTTATTTAACTGATGGGGCTTTACTATTTTATCTCTTATTGAAGGTCGATCCAACAGAATGCAAAATTTTGCTCACAGATCCACCTCTCAATCCATCAAAGAACCGTGAAAAGATGGTTTGTCCTTATACCTCTTCTTATTCAGATGTTTTTTTATTTCTTTCGTAATACATCTGACTCTTGCTTTGTAAGTATTTGAATAACAGGTAGAAACAATGTTTGAGAAATACAACTTTGGGGGTGTCTTCATTCAGATTCAAGCTGTCCTAACATTATATGCCCAAGGTGCTTAGTTTAGAAATGAATAACTCAAAAATATATGTTGTAGCCCTTTTATTTTTGGAGTAGACATTTTTATTATATTTTTTTAAAGGAAAAACAGTTAACTATTATTAATCAAATCGTGGTGAAGAGACTTGAATAAAAAAGAGTTCTAAGGGAGAGAATAATTTTCTGGTTGTGTGTCTATCCACAACCCTGAACTCCTTTATTTATAATAATGAGAGTACAAGTACATTAATGAGCGAAAGGAGGTGAAAGGTCAAATGAAATGAAAGGTCAGTTCTAGAATAATACAGTTGAGTCTATTTAGCTACCAATAAATCTAGATAAATCTAACACTCCCCTCTGAGCATACAAATTGTATGTACCAAGCTTGGAACAAATGAATTCAATTCAAGGACCTCTCAAAGATTTTGTCAACGCATCTGCAAGTTGACTATTGGATCCAATAAATTCGGTGCTGATTTCTTTAGACATCAGCTTTTCTCGAACAAAATGATAATCGATCTTTATGTGTTTAGTTCTCTCATGGAACACCGGATTTGAGGCAATGTGAAGGGCAACTTGGTTATCACAATAGATCTTCATTTGTTGAACCTTACATAACTTTAATTCTTGAAGAAACTGTTTTACCCATATGAGCTCACAAGTGGATAGTCTATCCACAGGGCTACTACATTGCCCTATATTCAGCTTCAGCGGAGGATAGGGCTACTACATTTTGTTTCTTGCTTTTCCAAGAAATAATATTTCCTCCAAGAAAGACACAATATCCTGTGGTGGATCGTCTATCCACAGGAGATCCTACCCAATTAGCATCACAATACCCAAGGATTTGAGTATTCCCTTTGTCTTCATGTAGCAAGCCTTGTCCTGGAGCTTTTTTTTTATGTATATTAGGATGCGAATGACAGCATTCCACTGCATACACCTGCTAGAATTGACTAACACCACCAACTGCAAACGATAGGTCCGGTTTAGTGATAGTGAGATAAATGAGCTTCCCAACCAACCGTCATCTCTCTGGATTAGAAAACACTTCTCCATGTTTTGGCATTAACTTTTGGTTTGGGTCCATAGGACTATCTAAAGGCTTACAATCAATCATTCCTATTTCTTTTAGCATATCAAGAACATATTTCCTTTGAGAGATTCAACACCTTTTAATTCGGCCACTTCAATGCCCAAGAAATATTTGAGACTCCCGAGATCCTTGGTCTGGAAATGACTGCCCAAGTGTTTCTTCAAGTGAGATATTCTTGCAGCATCATTTCTTGTGATAACAATGCCATCCACATACACTATCAAGTAAACACATTTTCCAGGAGACGTGTGGCAATAGAACTAAATTTTCCAAACCAAGCTCGTGGGGATTGCTTTAGACCATAGAGAGAACGGTGTAACTTGCACACCAAACCAGACTCTCCCTGAGCAACGAACTTGGGAGGTTCCTCCATGTAAACCTTCTCATCCTGATCACCATGTAGGAATGCATTTTTTATGTTTAACTGATAAAGTGGCCAATGGCAAATGGCTGCCATGTCAAAAAAGAGACGAATTATAGTCATTTTGGCCACTGGAGAAAAGGTATCACTGTAATCAAGGCCATAGATCTGGGTGTATCCCTTGGCAACTAACCGAGCTTTGAGACGATCCACTCCTCCATTAGGACCAACTTTAATGTCATAGACCCATCGACATCCAACTGCTTTCTTTCCTGATGGAAGAGGAACTAATTCCCATGTTTATTATGTTCAAGGGCCTGCATTTCTTCTGCAATCATGGCTTGTCGCCATTCAGGATGATCAAGTGCTTCATTCACATCTGTAGGAATTGTGATTGAGGAGACAAAGGATATAGAGTTACAATAAGAAGGAGCAAGTCTATGATAGCTAAGGAAATTGTAAATGGGATGTGGATTACGGGTAGAGCGAGTACCTTTCAGGATAGCAACCGGCCTGATATGAAGCGGGAAGAGCATGGGGCGGGACGGGCTTGAGCCCACCTTCGTGGGCTGGCTGCGAGCAATTTAATTAATTTTAATTATTCCTTTTATTTTGTTTCCTAATTTATTTTGTTTCCTAGTATGATTTAATTAGGACTTCTATTAATTAGATGTTTCCTATTTCTATTTAGTTTCCTTGAATGGTTTACTTAGGACTCCTATTATGTTTCTTACTAGGATTTAGTTTCCTATTCATTTTTGGATGTAAGGGTTATATAAACCCCTGCCTAGGTTTATTCAAATCAGGCATTAATAATATTGGTTTTAGCTATTTAGCTCTGGGCAACGGATCCAGCCGTTGATTATTTTGGGCAACGGGTTACCCCGTTGATTTTATTTTTCTGTTCTTATCAATTGGTCCGACCTGCCGGATCCCGTCCCGCCAAGATGACGAGATCTCAGAATGATCGATTGACAGAGCTGGAGAACGAACACACTCGTATGAGAGAAGAAGTGACCCGGATAAGGGACGAACAGGCAGAGCATGGTGGCAAGCTGTCGGAGATCATCGCCTCACTAGCGGCGTTGACCCAGGCGATGGTCCCGCCGGTCACACCGAAGAAAGCCGCGGATGACGTGGGTCGAATCCCGGCAACCGAGCAGCATGGAGAAGGCGTGCTGAGCAATCCAACTATAACGCTGCTTCCGTCATTCGATGGGGGAGACCCAATTGGGTGGATCGCTCGGGTAGAGCAACAGTTCGAATTACACAACACTTTACCGGAAAAGAAGGTGGCTGCCGCGATGGTAGCTATGGAAGGAGGAGCGCTTTACTGAGTGACCTGGCTGAGATCGCGCAGGCCCGGGATGACTTGGGCAGATTTCAAGCAAGCCTTGGTGGACAAATTTGATTCTCGATTTCAGGGGAATAAGTATGAACGATTGTCCGGAGTCAGGCAAATTGGGTCTATAGAAGATTACAACATCTTGTTTGTTCAGCTAGCAAGCCAAGTTCTAGGGTTACCCGATGAGCACTATTTGGGATATTACATGAGCGGTCTTAAGGAGATAATCCGAAGCTCGCTGCGATTGCTCCGACCAAACAACCTGGAGATGGCTATGGAATTAGCTCGCGAAGTGGAGTATAATCTGTCCGTCCAAAGGGGAGAAAGTGGCAGCCTGAATTATCATTCATCAGGGGTACGTTCTATCAGCCTTTTAAGGGCAAACACAAGTTCCCCGTTGACTGCCATTGGTGGCAGCTTACAGGGTTCGGAGGGCAGCTTTGCGAAAGATAGTGGACAGCCTCCGGGGACGAAGTCAGGGTTGTCTGGGCAGCCTACGACACGCTCTCAGTTCACTCGACTTCCGCCGAAAGAGTTTGCAGAACTACGGGCAAAAGGATTATGCTTTAGGTGCAAGAAACCATTTACACCAACACATGACTGTCCCTTTAAGCAGCTACGGGTAATGATAGCTGAGGAGGATGAAGAGTTGGACCTCAAGCAGCATGAATTCTGTGTAATAACCGGCCAGTAAAAGGTCCGGAAAGAGAAGAAGGATATTTTCCAGGCTATACTATGTCTGGAAATTTCAGTTCCCGATCCGCGAGTTTTCAACCTTGAGGACAAGGTTAATTTGAAGGAGGATTGATTGATATGAAGCGGGAAGAGCATGGGGCGGGACGGGCTTGAGCCCACCTTCGTGGGCTGGCTGCGAGCAATTTAATTAATTTTAATTATTCCTTTTATTTTGCTTCCTAATTTATTTTGTTTCCTAGTATGATTTAATTAGGACTTCTATTAATTAGATGTTTCCTATTTCTATTTAGTTTCCTTGAATGGTTTAATTAGGACTCCTATTATGTTTCTTACTAGGATTTAGTTTCCTATTCAGTTTTGGATGTAAGGGTTATATAAACCCCTGCCTAGGCTTATTCAAATCAGGCATTAATAATATTGGTTTTAGCTATTTAGCTCTGGGCAACGGATCCAGCCGTTGATTATTTTGGGCAACGGGTTACCCCGTTGATTTTATTTTTCTGTTCTTATCACGGCCAAGCCAAATTATCATTATGAGGAATTGTGGCAGAGGGCGATGATTGAGAAGGATCTGATGAAGTGGGTCACCTTGAAGAATTGGATTCACTTGTCGGGTCCTACGTTGGTATGTAATAAGAGGAGGACCTTGGCTGGAGGTTGAGTCATCTACTGAATCCAAAGGAGGTTGGCTGGCAATAGAGTCATTTGCAATGGACAGAACAAAGGACTCAATAGATGGTATAGGGAGAACTTGCTGAACAGATTGATCTCTAAGTGAGGAAAAAGGAGTTTGTTCAAAGAAAGTGACATGGACAAACATATAATATGTCTTGTTCAAAGGAAGAGAGTAACAACGATACCCTTTTTGAAGGCGGAAATAACCTAAGAAAACACATTTGACGGCCCGAGCTGAGAGTTTATCTAATCCTGGAGACATATCATGAACAAAACAGACACAACCAAACACATGAGGGGAAACATGAAAGAGAAGTTCATTAGGAAACAAGACAGAATGAGGGGTTTTATTATTAAGAGAAAAGGATGGCATTCTGTTAATAAGAAAGCAAGCGGTTAAGACAACATCTCTCCAATGATGATTTGGTACATTGGCACCAAGTAATAAGGTATGAGCAGTCTCATTCAAGTGCCTATTTTTCCTTTCAGCTACACCATTTTGTTGAGGTGTATGAGGGAAAGTGGATTGATGTAAAATGCCATGTGAACTAAGGAGGAAGGAAAAACCAATGGAGAAGTATTCCTTGGCATTATCACTCCTTAAAATTTTGATTATTGTTCCAAATTGATTGCGGATTTCATTAAGAAAGCAGGAAAAGATAGACAAACGTTCAGAACGATCCTTCATTAGATAAACCCAAGTACACTTAGAAAATTTATCAATGAACGTGACAAAATATTTAAAACCAAAAGAGGAAACCCGACTTGGTCCCCAAACATCAGAATGGATAATAGAAAAAGCAGAATCACATCTAGACTCAGAATAGCTAGGAAATGAAGAC